GGTGCATAACAAAGAGAGGGTGCATGACATAGAGGTGGTGCTTGACGGTGTATAAGGGCTTAGGACACACAACTAGGTCGGCGCACGGCGAGGTAGTGTGCTACACCGTGGCCTCCATGGCTTGCTTGGGCTGGGTGGGTGGGCATATTCGAATTCAAATCTTGGCAGGCTAATGATGGCATGGCCAGGCAGCGTCCTAGGGTTGGCATGGCTGATAAGGAAGCGTGCAATGGATGTCAAGGCCTGCAGGGGCCTGTGACAGAGGCTTGCAATGGCCATCGTGACATGCTGGGTGCATGGGCATGTCCATGGTCACTTGGCATGGCGCAGCAAAGGTTGGCCGCCAAGTGTAGCTTATATATTGAATTTCAAATGTTGTAACGGGGGTCTAAATAAACCCCCAGGCCTATACCCTTGCTAGGCATCCATGGCAGTATACATTGTAAATGTAAAGAGCTTGAAGAAAGTTGGGCTCTGGTCCTTTAAACCCTTGTGTGCCTGTATGTGTAAATTTGTGTGTGTGTGCAGTGTGGTATTGGGAGTCGAGGGTGATGTGCTCCAAGTAGACCACAATTGTGAGCTAAGACTTCACAACATGGCTAAAGAAAAACGGAAAAAAAAAAGAAAGAAAAGAAAAAAATAAAAAAAAATAATTTATATATATAATTGAAAATATAATAGAAAGGTCTCAAGGGCAGAATAGTACAAGACAAGAGAAAAAGGCTGTATTATTCAAACCCCCTCCAGAAATAAATGTAGATTCAGCTTAAAAGGGATCAAGAAAAAGGAAGAAAATAAGGAATTGGTCGATGAATTAATTAAGAAACTTTCCCAGTTGAGTTTGAAAGACAAAAAGGGAAAAGGGGTAATAGTTGAATCAGAAGCCATGGTACTAGAAGTAAATTCAGCAAATAAGGATGAGATTTTGGGAATAGAGGAAGCCTTCAACGAAGATAGTTCAAATATCAATAGGATAGATTATGGGAAAAAATGGAGACCTACTGCTCAATCAAGAATGTACCATACTAGGCCAACCCCAGTAGATATACAGTTTGAAGAAGATTTGGTTTCCCATACTGTATCCTACTTAGGAAGGACAATCGTTAATTGGAATATTGATGGGATGTCTGACCATCAGATACTCGATACAATGAAGCATATTACAATGTATGCCACTGCCTGTAAAGTAACAGGAAATCATGACTAGGAAGTAGCTAAGGCTATTGTCTGTGGGTTTACTGGATGGCTACGAGGCTGGTGGGACTTTCATATGAGTGAAACCACTAAAATTCAAATATTAAATGCTACAAGACAATGGAATATAAAGAATGAATTCAATCAAGATATTCCTCATAGTGAAAGTGATGCAGTCAACACACTCATATATACAATAACTCTCAATTTTGTGGGGAGTACTTCCTTGTTAGTCAGAAGACCTATTATCAAATCTTAGATGTCCAACATTATCTCATTATAAGTGGTATAAGGATGTATTCTTTTCACGCCTCCTAACTCGAGAGGATAGTAGTGCGGACTATTGGAAGGAAAAGTTCATAGCAGGATTACCCTATTTGTTTGCTAAAAAAGTGAAAACTAGACTGAAAAATAAGAATCAAGGAATAATCCCTTACTCTCTTTACACTCTAGGAGAGTCTGCAAAAATTTGTGCAGAAGGTCTTGCCCTATGCACTGATTTAAAACTAAAAAGGCAGTTGGATAAACAGAGAATGACATGGAAAAAGGAGTTAGGAGATTTCTGTGAACAATTTGGTTACAATACTGTACCCTCATCTGATAAACTCTATAAAAGAAAAAATAAAAATAAAAAGCATAAATTTGGGCAAAAGAAAGATATTAGGGAAAAGTTCACTAAGAAATTTGCCCCAAAAGCCAAATTCAAAAAAGGGAAAAGAACGCTTCCAGTATGTTATAATTGTAGTATTGTAGTAAGGTAGGACATTATAAAAATATTTGTAAGGTTAAAACGAAAATCAATGCCTTATAGCTGGAAGAAGTAATCAAAACCCAGATATATGATATACTTCAAATAGAAGGTGAATCAGATATGGATACCTCAAATTTTGATACAGAGTCTCTTATAGGAAGAATCGAGGATGAAACTCTAATCTTTAGTAGCTCAGACTCTGAAGAAGATATAGAAGATTGTCTTTGTAAAATGGTTAAAAATCTTTGCTCAAAAGAGTCTGCTTACTTCTCTTCTCAGCTTTTGGGAACTCCTCTTGAAGTCCGGGTAAAATTCGAAACATCTCAATAGTTTATTCTTGCTTTACTTAAAACCTTTTATAGGTTCTTCCATCCATGTTCTTCAATAAATCTTAGTGAATGTCTAATCTCAATCTCTTCTTTTCTGCTTTATAAAACTTCTCTGTTTCTAATTCTTGAACTTCTTAGTCACTGTATATCCGGTGGTGTATCATAAACCACTCGGAGAGTTGTGTAAATGTGTGACTGTAATCTTAGTAGTCTGCCTACTTACTGTCCTGAAGAGTGGAAGCTCTTCACCAGCTTCTGTATTTGTACTATGTAAGTCCCTGTTTTCATGTACTACCGTTCTTGTAGGTTATCTGCTTGTATTTCCATAAGTAAATTTTAGAATGCAAATAAAGTTTATCTTTAATGTAAAGATTAGAGAAATTACATATACTAATTGGATCGTACTAGATATTTCTCCTTTCTCTTTGTTTATTCTAATAGCTGTGTTAGTTTATTTCGGGTTCATTAGACTGCTTATGTGATTACTATTGATTATATAAACCTTGAAATATTCCTAGAATTATAACAAATTCTATCTTGGTTATATATATATATATATATATATGGAAAAAGTTTATATAAGGTTGCAACCTCAAAATGTAGAACTACGGATGCACCTAAAAAATCTATTGGAAAATTTTATTTTAATGTTGAAAAACACATTTATTGATCATCTCAACATCGAGATATGACTATGAAAAAAAAAAGATTGGAGTCCTAAAAATAGTGCATCTTACGACACATTATCTAGATCGTCCATTTTCAAGATTTCATATGTTTATGAATCTACTTGTATTT